CGCCCCGCCCCGCCGGCCTGCAATCGCCGAGGGCATCGCCTTGACGCCCCGCGAGCTACTTTTTTTCGCAATTAATGAATGGCCTAGAATCCGAAATGGAGTGGAGAGCGGCGGCGGAAGAAGTACCCGAGTCGCTGCTACTTGCTTGTGCTTTTCCCTGCTCTCGCGGGGCCCTTCTCATTGTACCGACTCGGAGCCCTTTCCCCGTCCACGAGTCCCCCCCAAGTCATTTCTCACACCGACCGGCCGGACCGCGCGCGCAGCAAAATGTGGCAATGGTAATGCCCGTCTAATTTAAACTTGACTGGCTCCAAATGGCGATGGTCGTTATGAACGGCCAGGGCGCGCGGGGCGCGGGGCCTCGCTCGCCGACCAGAGAGCCAGGAGGAGGAAATTTTGCTGTCCCCCTGCTCTGGCCGGACTGTCACGCGGGCCAGGCGGAAAGGGGGTTGGGGGGCTCGCTGCACGCTCGCCGTGCCCCGTGAAATATGTCGCCCCGGCGGCGCGGCACAACGCGGACCAAATAAAGGGCTCGAGTTTGTTGTGGAGATGAGACAACTTCCCGGACCAGCGGCGCGGTATTCCGAAGTGCGGCCCGTAAAAACGCAATGCCGCACCGGGCAAGCGGGGGAAAAAATGGATTCCCTTCCTCTGATTATACGGGAGAACAAAGGCGGGAAAAATCAGTTGTCAGTCATTTGTTATTTTCACGTTGCCGCGCGGGCTTTTGCTCAACTCCTGACGTTGACCAATGTCAACATTGCGACGGCAGCCTCTTTTTAGCGTTTGCCGAGTAGGCAGCCCCAATACACATCGGTATTGCGGGCTGGCCTGCCTTGCCCCTGGCAGCTGAGCGGCGCGCCGTAGGGCGGTGACGAGGTGCTTCTCGGCCTCGCCAGGTGTCGCTGCTCATGCTGCCCTCCCCCCTCTCCCCGCGAGGTTTCTTGGTTGCATCGGCGCCAGCTGACCCTCAACACCAACACTGGTATGGTCCTGTGTTGTGGCCGTCGTGCCGTGCGGCGACACTTTGTTATTCTGCTAATAACTATTCGACCGTGTCGTGTGGCACAGAAACTCACCACACCAGTCCCCAGCTCCACACTGGAAATCCAAGTGAACAAATGTCGCACACGCAGGGGTTTGTAAAAATTCACACACTGTGATGGTGTGGGTTCCTCTACTCAACGTGCATAACACTGGTTACTAAAGATAATATATATTGACAGATATAATAGCATTACAGACACTGTACTCAAGGCGGGCCATAGTGGCGTCGGGACTGTGGTGGTGGTCCGGGACTAGGATGCACCTCCCTGGCAGGCTGG